CAATCCTCAGACCTCGAAAGCCCAAAGCGATAGACAGGCCCATAATCCCCGGGATGCATCCCCTCCCAGACAAGCAGACGCCTTCTCTGCAGTTTCACATACAAACACAGCTCAGCCCGGGCCTCCGTCGTGCCTTTCGTTCCTTTGAATGCATCTCTTGAGTTGTTTACATGATCCAAGTCAACCCGCCCTGTAAAGTCTCTGAACATGGTAGCAATCTCCTGAGTGGCAACTTTTTTTTCTCCTTTTTTTTTAAAAAGTTTGTTTTCTTTTTTCTATTAAAAAAAAGAAAAAAATCACTAACAGTTGGCAAATTATAACCCTCCCTCCCTCTCATAGCAGCCCCTTTACAGCTTCTATCTCAACAACATTTTATTCTACAAAAGCAAACAACAAAAGGCTCGAGAGGACTTGACAGTAAAAATAGACACGTATTACCAAAACATATTAAAGCACGTCAGAAAAGATCTTCGCTTTTCTTCCACACAGTGAGGAATATTCTGGTTGGGGTGCCACACTCGGTCAGACCTGCTGAGTTAAAACAATGTGTGCGACGGGGGAGGACTCCATGAAAGTATACTTGTTGTGATGTTGCGTATGTATGCAGTGTATATGAGAACTGTGTTGTTTTAACGCGTCTTCAAAAGGGACTCTGAGTTGCACAGTAACACTCCCTTCCGGTCTCATAGACAGAGAGCACATACAAAGCTGAGAGAGAAAGCAACACATTCAGACAGGAGGTTAGAGGAGGCGCTCAGCCCAGACTCTTATCTAAAAACCCAGCATGCTTTCCTGTTTTTTGTTTTCTGGCCTGCAGAGTCCAAAAGTCAGACCTGTTGTGTATCCTAGAGAAAAGCCTTGGGGAGGTCAGAGGCAGACCTCGGTCATGACCTCTGCAATGGCCCAGAAAGGGCAAACAGACCCCGCGCCCCTTATTCTGTCAAATGCAACGTCCGGAGAGCCGAGTGCCCCTAATGTCTCTTCATGGATGACACCTTCTTCTTCCTGGCTGCCAGCATCTCGTAAAAGGGGTCCCTGCTAATGGCAGCTCTGTGGGTGCAGAAGCAGAGAAAAATGTCAGCAAAATTTCATAAAATGTGCAAACTGACGCACTCATGAAACACTAATGTTAGACACGGCTCAGCTGTGCAAGAAGGTCTAATTTTTCTCTTTTTTGTCTGGAAAAAAAACATTCTTAGGATGAGTCTAATTAAAGTCATTTGGAAGGCAAAATTCTTCTTCTGTTTAATTCATTCATTTAGAGGAGCTAGTCAGCATAATCAGACTCAATATACTGTTCTGTACTTTTGGAAGAGCGAGGACAAGAAATCTAAATCTGTTTAGAAAAATATGTGCCTCTGAAAACAAAGTATTTTGGGAGAATTAAAAGAAATGTGAAAAACGAACAAAGATTTTACACAAATATGTTCAGATTTAGCAGCTTTAAAAAGCCGTTTCATTGCTTTGCATGGCTTTCGCAGATATCAGCAGAAAATAATCCACCCAGTAGCGGTTTTTGATATGGGCGACATGGGTTGCCTGGGGCAGCATCACGGGCATCGGCAAAAAAAATTAAAAAATTTCTCGTACTCATGCGGCCCCGACGTCATGCCAGCACATATTGGGAATGGAATTCTATTTTCTGAAGAGAGCAGTTTCTGTCATATTTAAGGACTGCAGACTCCAGAACAAATGAGTTTCAATCAGAAGTTAGTGAGGGTGTTTTCTGCCTATACAGCTTACTAGGACTACTCTTGGAAAAACCCTAAACCTTAAATAAACTGAGTTGTCAAAATGTATCATTCAGGAGATCAAATGTTGACTTTAAGGGGAGAAAGAGTCAAAAACTCATGTTTTAGGGTGGTGACATTCACTGCCATCACTGAAATTAAGCTACCTCAAAAGAGGTAAAGTAATTAAAAACATATAAATTACTTGATGCTTTTCATCCACTCTTCTTTCTCCTCAGCTGTGGGGGCTGAGATGCGGTAGAAGGTGTGGTTGCCCTCCACGACCCGTCCGTCAGCCTCAGTCTTGCATGCCTTTATCACCTGGTCCTTGCTGTCAGGTATGAAAAGCTCAAAGCAGTTCTACAGAAGTGATGATGATTTAAGTTAGAAATGACAATGCCACAAAAATAACTATTTTAAAAATAACTGTTGATCAAAAATGCTATTTTGAGTCTCTAACTGTGGGTAATCCACAGATGAACCACTAGAGGGAGCTGTACGTACAGGCTTCTTGTCCTCCACCTCCTTGATACTCAGGTTCTCCAGTGGGATGATTCCTCTTGGCTCTTTGTCCTACACAAATATAAAATGAGAGCACTGCGCGAAGGAGCGACAACAGCAAAGGAGGGAACTCTAACAGAGAAACAACTGTACTCACTGTGGTGTACTCGAAGTAGTACAGACAGTTGTCTGTGAGGATGAACCACCTCCTCTTCCAAGTTTTAACTCGTCCCCCTGTTGAGCAAACAGCAAGCATCAGAAACGCTCAGCAAGAGAAAGCAATATGGAAAGAGAAACAAGCACCAAAGCACCGTGTCAAGCAGCAGACAGGCAGACAGATGTATGAGCAGACAGACAGATGACGGCTCCAGAGGACTCCCTTTACCTAAGGAACCCCACAATCCACCCTAATCCACGTCCATGCCATGTGCTCCCCATCACCACTCCATTTGTAGCTATAATAACTATTTTATCATTTTGCTTGTATTTGTTGATTTATGGGCCTGATTGCCATTTTCCAGTCTGATATACTGTTCATATGATAAAGAAACTCCTTATAGGTGATAAATGCATATAAAAACTACCCAGAGTTTACATCTAAGGATTGATTTGAAAGCTGTTTGCTACTTTTCAATCATATTTTGACATGAGTGAAAAAACTGGCATCTCCTCTCTTGGCTCAAGACCATTTTACTCAGAGGGCTAGAGAGCCAGAATCAATAGGGAGCATACAGATCTATATGCTCTGCATTCACTAAGCTTGATGAACCACTTATGTTACTGGGCAACAGTTAGAAAGCTGCAAAATCCATATATAAGGGCTGAACATAGAAAGTGAGGACTGTGGATTAAGTTATCTTCTTCATTTTAAAGTGCAGCAGGGGCTCATTACTTGACTCTGCTCTTGTTGATCTCTAGCTGAACTCTTACCCCCTTTGTCACCCTGCTTCCTGTGAGGGGAAACATGATCGCAGGACCAGATGGCAGCCACACTCTGGGAGGATAGGATGCCAACGAAGAGAGAGGCAGGAAGCTCAGTGCCTGAAGTTATGCTTAGTCTCTCCACAGGCATTTCAATCTTAAATATCCTGTTTGGGCTTAGTTAAGCAATTTTGCATCTATATAGAAACAGTATTTAGTTATTGGGGAGGGGTCCTTCTAACGATGACAGTCATAAGCCTACTAAGCCAAGTCTAGACTAGGTTTTCCCACCACCAATGTTAGTAAAAAGCTGCATTTTGAAACCCATTTACCAAAAGCAAGGGTTTGAAGATGTTTCTATAGACATGTAGAACACACTTGTATTATCATATAGCAGCAGACACACTGTATATGATATCCCATCATATTACAGACATCATGACAGGCACAACACTTCAGTCTACGTTTAGTAGCTACAGAAACTGTCGACGCGCCTGAACTGGCAGACAGAAATGGAGATATAGGGCTCCTCGCCGCACCTTGACTCGTCAGCATGTTGCAACAGCAAAAAAAAAAAAAGAAGACAAAAGCAGACCGACAGAGAGCACAGACGCGATGGCAGAATCACACAGCTGACGGGCTTAAAAGTTGATTGGGTTGGCTAAAAGTTGCGATTGGTCTGATGGCCGTGTCAGTTCCTGTCACTCTGAGAAAAATAAAGAGTTCACTGCCTCCTGTGCAAGAATGTCTGGGACGAGGCGGGACGTCCCAGCAGATTGTTGCAGAGAGGCGTGTGGATGGTGCAAGGCCCGAGTGGGGCTGAGTGGAGTGAGTCACCCATGCAAGATGGGACTGTGAGAGGCTGGACGAGAGGAGGTTATGAGGTGATTGTTTATTTGAAGATGATTTTTCTCATTCTGATCAATTAGCAATTGATGATTAACAAACCCCAAGTTGAATTTAGTTACCCCTTTTTTGTCATTTAAAGAAAACATGCACCACTAACACCAATACATAAATTTATCATTAAAACAATGTCTGGCTCCTTTCAGCACACTCCTCTGTCCATGCCATCTTCCCACACCTTGGTCCAGTCCGGTCCAGCACCACACCAACCTCAGCCACAATGTTAACCTTCAGATCCACGTGTAGGAATTATACAAGAAGATAAGGAAAGCTGCATTGATGAAAAGGTGCAGTATTCCCTTTCCATTCAATCAGAGAGCAAACAACAGCTTCCAATGTGTACACTGGTTCATGATCAATTTTTCAAAGCTAAGTCCTTTGTTGCGCTCGCTGTATGGAAAAAAGGTATAATGCAGCTTCCAAAAAACGGGAGATCAAAGAGAGTGACCACCACAGTGCAAAGAGAGAAAAAAAAGGCCAAATTGCTCAGTAGTGTGGTCACAAAGCAGTAGCTCCCCGAGTCGAGTCCACAGGGTGACAAATGCACCTGGCGACTGCCCGACAAAGATAAAAGAGCATGGACAAAACCACCAGCTCCATGAGAGACTGAACAGACAAACAAACAAACATCTGAAGTTCAAATGAGTCAATGGGGAGACAAAAAAAAAATCTACACACAAAATAACTCTGTATGAATGTAATAAACGAGGAAGAGAACGAAAGCATGGCAGGCCACCGAAAGCACCTGAGAGCTGAGAGATGGACTAGCGTTGGGGAAGAGCAGGTGTACATACCTCCTGAGGAAAGACAACAGCCAAAATCATGGGAACAAACAAACAAACGAAGAGGAAAAGAAAAAAATAATCAAATTAAATGATAAAGAAATATAGCACCACAGTCCTTTTAATCTGGTCGCAGTGAGGCTTCAATGCACTGCTTCACAGCTTTTGCCATCAGCAAACTTTCCCATCTGCTGATATCAAGCCAATCCACAAGAGGGCGATCTAGTCTATGTGGACTTAAGAAAGCTACTGTGAAGCACTACATGAAATATATCCCTCACTGGGTTCTCACCTTATTATATCAGGTAATTTTTTGACCTTCCACCCTGATTATTTTACTGAAATCTGCCATTTAGGAGTAAGTGGAAAGAGATGATTTCTGACTCCTTTTTCTCTGTTGTAAAGATTCACAGTGACTGAAGGTCTTCACTCTATACATTCATGCATTCTTTTGTGAATTTATACAACAGAGAGAGATATGTCAGAGGAAACAGAAGATGAAGAATTGGCATCCAGGAGCGATTTGAAAGTGACCACTGAAAGGTTCGTTACCATCCTGTAAACATTTCTAATGATACAGGTTATTTCTTTGCTTATGTCAAACTATACAGTTGATTTACACATGAGGGACAAAGAGGCCATAGATATGTCACTAACCTTTTCAGATTGGGACAATCTACACATCTCAAATATCAAATTCAGTTATAAAATGCACAGAAAATGAGAACAGCTTCCTGAAAATGTCTGAACTCCAGAGTGTGTTTTATGCATGTGTGTTGACTTGATTTACAAGTTTTGAAACGCAGTATTTGTGTGCATGTCAGTGTGTGCATATGCATCATCGTAAATAATTCAAAGGTCTCCACATGTGATGGTCTGATCTCAAGACCACATTTATAATACATTAAAGCGGGGAGACGTGTCTCTAGCCATTCGCGTGTGCTCACAGTAACCTTTAACACGCACCCACACGCACGCACACTCAGAGGCTATTTACATCAGGGGAGACACTGGTTATCGGGTTATGCAAAAATATGTGCAGCTTTAATGACACAACAAAGTCATCTATGGGAGCAGTCATGAGGGTGAAAATAGCCTCTCTGTGTTCTCGTGTAGCTGTGTACACACTCACCCAGTTTTAGCAGCCAGCCCTCTCTGTCCGGGTTGAAGAAAGTGTGTGTGAGGTCATTTCCGTCATCCTCTGGTATTTTGAAAGGCTCGTTCTTGATGCTCTCATACAAATTCTAAAACAAAGAGTAAAGAATGTGTGACATTAAGGAAAGAAGGGCGATTTCAGGAAACAAAGTTTGGGAAGGGCTACCCACCCTGAGCAGATCTTCAGGCAAGTCACCTCCATCATTTATGCCTCTGTTCATGGAGATAAACCGTTCCACGGTCGGCTTGTCCTTTACATTTGGATTGTGGAGGCTGGTGTTTAGCATGATGATGGCGAATGACAGAATGTAGCATGTGTCTGTAAGAAAAAAAAAACCCAAACAAAACAAAAGTGGGATCGCACTATGAGAGGGGGTGAGGTTTGAAAGGCAGTGAAAGGTTGCCGTTTACCATAAAAATGGTGTGGGTGTTTAATGTTGCGTTTAAATATGAATGTAAATTAGTCGAGCTGAAAGGACTGCACTTAGGGGACTGCAGTCAAACTGGGAGGGAAAAGGCAGATGTAGCTTCATTAGGGCGCAGAGTGGGCAGGAGAGGAGGACTGCATGTGGGCAGCCAAGTATGCTTCTGCATGTGCTGTCTAATGTATGAGTGTGTATACATGCATAAGCTAAAAGACATTGAGGCGAAGCACATGGCTGAAACAGCAGCACTTTATAAAAGCCTGTTAAGGCAGTCCCGTGCATTATTTACATCCACCAGCATCCATACAGGATGGAGTTGTCTGTCTGCTAGTGTCATTATTTCCCAAAAGCCAGACACTTCCTGACACAGTTCACCACAACAGACTTTGTGTCTGCTAAATGATCCAGCTTACATGACTTCCATTGACCTGTCACTGGATTGCAGCGCAACATGAAAAGGTATGAGTTTAAAGAGATACTACTGATTAATTGGGGTGGCTGTGGCTCAGGAGTAGTGCAAATCATCTACTTATTGAAAGATGGGTGGTTCGATCCCTGGCTGCTCTAGTCCACATGTCAAAGTATCCTTGGGCATGATGCTGAACCTCGAATTGCTCCTGTTTATCATACTGTGAATGTTAAATAGAAAGCCCTTATATGCAGAAATAACTGAAAATATGAATGAATGAGACACATTGCATAAAATGCTTTGAGTGCTCAAGAAGAGTAGAAAGGCACTACATAAGAGCCAGTCCATTTAATCAGGGTAACACAGAAGACATTTGAGGAAATTTACAGATAATGATCTATTCAACAGGCCAAGTTTAACATCTAAATCTGTATTAAGATATTTTATTAGGAGAAAATATGAAGTGAAGTCATTTTGTTCTGTTTCACTGCTCTAACATTTATGGTTATTTCTGTTTTTATGACAGCACTAAAAGCTGGGCTGGAAGACACGACGGCTATACCTGTAGACTGGAAAACACCAGGGTTGCAATGGCAGTAGCGCTGAGCAAAGGTTTCCATCATGCGGTCGATCTTCTGGGCTTCTCCTGGCAGCCGAAAGCTCCATAGGAACTGTCTGTCAAGGGACACAACTCTGCAGTGAGCAACAGACTTCCTTCAAGTGTCAAAGAATTTATTTATTTCCTTTTCTTTTCCTCCTCGAGACTGAAACTGACAGCTGCATCCTTACAAACTGCAAATGAGGCTGTTCGTGAAAACTGATGTTAGTGCAGGTGATTTACATAAACCTGCAAGGAAGCAACAGTATGAGGAGTCAGCCGCGTGTGAAACAGATGTTAGGAGGATATCTTACCTTAACGCCTGAACCAGGTTGAGGTCTGTGAACTCATGAAGCTCCACAAAGGCTTGGAGTACTTTGATATTGAAATCATCTCTAAGGTAGATAAAAAAAAAGGGTAAATTATCCTGTCAGTGAATATGTCCATATTATATTCTGTTAATAAGTCTTAAAATAATAAAATGGTAGTATGTGTTTGATAAAAAAAAAATGTTTTGTTAATCTGATAAGCAAGGGGTTGTGACGATACAATGGATACCCCCAGCAAACCCCACATGACGGACCACACACACTTCCCAGCCCTCTTCACTTATCTAAATTAGAGCATGACATCATCCCCGACCTTTATGCCCTTCACAGAAAACAATCTGCCCTCTGGGATCACAGCAAGGCTTTAAGGAGCTCAGAGTCATATCCACTCAACACCATCTCAAGTGGACAAATGACCAATCGTGTCTTAAGACTAGCATGCTGCCACAGCCCCTCCTTACAGAACCAGATAGCTTGATAACAACCAAAAAGCATACGTCAACAGCACTCCAGTCCCCGCTATGGCCTTACAGACCACACCCTGCCTGTAACACTGCCATCCCTACAGTCCCCGAGCAGTGCATACCGTACATTAAGCCCATCAATATTTCCTGTATTATGTGTTCACTCTAACACGGATGATCTCTTCACTCGAGTGAAATCTTTAATTGCTTTCAAACACACACATTCCAAAATTGTGAGTCTATTGACCAAGTTACTTATGAGTAAGATAATCAAGCACAGATGTTGGCTTCAGAGTAACGATCATTGTCTTGAGAGGAAGGTCTAAATGTGGAACCAATAACCTGTGTTTGGGAAAGGATGGGCGTGAGCTTGACCAAGAGGAAATACAGCAATAAGGAAACTATGTGTTCACTATTTGATACTTTTATCAACCACGTGTATGGTTGCTGACTAATGGGCCAGCATGAGTGGAAGACAGTTAGAGAGAGAGAGTGGATAAAAGCTTCTTTCTGACCTCTCTCCAAGATAATCTCCGATGGCTGTTTTGTTGAGGCCCTCGCCTTTGTAGAGGAATTGAGCAATGTCGTCGCTGGTATTCTTCAGTAAGTCATTCTCAATCAGAAACTGGATCCCCTGAGAAAGAAAGTGAACCCCAGGTTATATCCTGATTACGAAAACCACAACAAACAAATCATATTTCTAATTGAGCCACAGTATTTTTTTTACCTACCTTTTTGGGGTCCATGTTAAACTTCTTACGGCCCATAGCCACCTGTTTATTCCTCTGCATATTTTTCCTTTAAAAGAGAGAGTTTATGTTGTTATTAATACTAACATGAACATAATGCAGAATAGTTATACTATGATAATGTGGTGACACAATGACAATGATGGACATAACAGGTATTACTTCATTATCAGTTATTTCTTAATTATTTCTTGATCAATCAACAGTCTTATCTATCAGAAGCCGGTAACTATTTTTAGCCATTTGGTGATATATTGCTATCAGCATTTATAACAGCTCATACAAAAAATATCAACTAGTAAAGAAGAAGTAAAGAAGTAAAGAAGAAGAAGAAGAGTGAAACACCCTTCAGCTGTCTGAGTACTGATGTTGCACAGCTTGCCCACTAGAGGGCACTCTGCAACGTCCCTGCTGGGAACATGCAAAAACAACAATCAACTGATCTGAGGAGAATCAGGCAGAGTTTAAATTAGTAAATCATGACTACAAAACAAATTAGATTTAAATTGCATTGTAATATGTTAATAAGGACCCAGAGCTGCACATATCAAATGTTAGGGAAATCTCTACGTTTTGTATTTTTGAAAGAATAAAATACATATATTGAATTTATACATCAGTTAATATCGGTATCTGTCTTACAAATCCTATATCTGTCAGGCTCTATCAACCTATATTAGAAAATGGTGAAAAATGCTTGATCAATAAATAATAATCAACTAAAGCAGTATTTTGCAGATCTAGTATATATGAAGCAGTGACAAGAATTTGAAGCTCAGAGTTTTAGATAAACTGAAACACACTCAATTTACTGCTCAATTCACCGATCTCTGTCCCTGTCTTTTTAAAAAGGTCTGTCAGGAGCTTTCCCGTACGTCTCAACTGTGATGACAAGGTGTTGGTCAGACACAGTTGTTAAAGGTTAGCATGGATATGGGAATGTGTGGTTTCTCAGGCTTTGAGTAATTTCAGGGTCAAAGTGCAATCCTAGAGTCCGCAGTCACCATGGTTACATTTCCATCTCCACCTCTCCCCACTGATTCACTCACACTAGCATTCCTTTGGCTTTTGTTAGCCAAAGTCCAGCACTCATGTGAAGAGCAATAACACACGCTAACTACTATGTACCATCTCCAATCAATGGATCACAGAAATATCTGATCATAAGCACCCCTAATGGGGTTTTAGGTACCACTGAAAGAGCGTTTCAGAGATTTTCAGCAGCTGATGGAATCCCTATCCACTAGAGTAGACCAAACCCAAGCACCCCCTCCCCTGAGACCACCTATTGTCTGCTTCTGCCCGAACACCCACTGCATTATTCAATGAGGCCTCCCATCATGAGGGTGTGCCTGATGAAACATTTAAACGGCTTTAAAAGCATAGCCAATTTGGTGAGATGGGAGGCCCAACTTAGCCATCAAACATGAATAATTGACAGCTTCATTTGCTCAGTTAATAGAAAGCAAGCAACTTAGACACAACAGAGAAAGAAATGTGTTTGCAGGGGAGGAAAGTCACTCCAGTTCTCTTACCTCTCCTCAGTGGAACCCAGGTTCTCAATTTCACTAGTAACTTCTGCTATCTCATTCTTCAGCCGCTGCAAAGGAAAAAAAAAAAATATATATATATATATATATTAGCCTTGTTGGGAGTCAGGAACAGGTTAAACATATGTCCATCAACTTCCCTCGAAGAGGCATGGAAAGGGATAACCAATGCAAATAACATGCAAAGCATTTGTATTACAACCCCCCCAAACGTGAGGGTATTAAACAGTGCAGAGAGAGGCTGAATCATTGTTTGTCTGTAAGTCAGGTGGCCTTTTGTTGCATAAATACTCACATCAGAGCAAACAGTTTAACAAAGAGAGAAAAGTCACTTTTTGGCCTCTTCAGATAATGCTGCACATGCAACACTGTGCATGCTCCTTAAACTATAAAGTGATAGCAGCTCCTATTTCACAGAAAGTCTGCTAGGATGTGTCTGAGCCAAACAATCCTCTCAATCTGAATTTCACTGGGCGGAGAACATTAGGGGATAACCTCAATACAAATGGAGTAAGTAAGCATGGAAAAGGATTATATTTTGTGTGGTATTTTACCGATTAATGGTCTCAGAGGCAGATTTAGTTGCCAGACCTGCTGGTGCCAGACTGGCACAGTAAAGGCAGAGGATGCAGAGGATGAGATCAGCTTGATCAAAGCATGGGAGAACAGACAGTAGCATAAGAGAAGTCAAATATAGATCTCGTTTGCCTACTAACAGTAATCATCAAGCCTTTTCCTTTACCATGCGTGACAATGCAATATTTCTTGTACACAATGCCAACTTACCAACTGTGAAACCACAAAGACAACATCTGTCCATTCAAGGCCTGCGCAATCACAACACATTCCTCAGATGCTTGTCTGCACAAACAAAGGCTGTGCTCATACAGAAAGTAGAGTGGGTGTGGTGCCGAGGCCTTGACATGCAGGGCCAGCAGAGGAGAGTGTGGGAGCCAGTGAGGAGGAGAGGGGTCAGTGTGCAGAGCACCGAGAAAGAGACGAGGACAGGATAGGGGCAGTGGCGGGGCAGCCATAGAGGGGGAAGGGCAGTGATGGTGGCCTAAGCTCATAAAAGTAAGGGTGACAGATCACACCTCAAACATCCACTGGGGTCAGCAGAAGCCAATTCGCCCACTGGGAACTCAGGACACCATCATAATTAATTCCAGGGCATGACAGTCTCTCACCTTTGTTGCGAGCTATTTGCTTATTATTGCTGCTTACTGAGTGAGAGGACTGACCTACAGATAGAGCTAGATTCACGAGCTATGCTCTAGTCTCAAGTTTGAAGCCAACAAACATCATCATGGGCCATGGACAGGAATCAAATAAACCACTTTATGGAAATTCAGCAGAGCTGCTTTGAATCCTGGCTCTGCTTGTAAATCAGGAGGGATATGCTACTAGCTTCCTGCAAACGTGCAGTCATAAGAACATAATCACCTTTTATCTGTGTGTGGAGTTGTTTTTGTCAGATTGAGATTAAGATAACTTTATTTATCCCCAAGAAGGGAAATTCATTTGCAGCTTACCCACTCAACCTAGTCACACAACATACAGTCTTTAAGCTGTGGTCACAAACACTGTTCAGATCAACAAACAATCAGGATAAAAATAAATAAATACAAAAAAATAAAAAGGACAAGTCTAAAAACGAACAACGCCAGAAAATAATGAAACTAAAATAAACCCTGTTCAGGTTTGATGATCTAATAACTGAGGGAATGAAGGATTTTAAAGTATCCATTTGTTCTACACTCGGGGTATAAGGTAGTGACGAGCAGAAAACAACTTCCTGAACTCAGATGACAGCACAGGGTCAGGATGGTTGATGTTTTTTGCCTTCTTTGTCACCTGATTTCCCCAGAGTGAACGCAAATCTCTCTCTGTTTGAATACCAAGGTTTTCAAGCATGAGTTAAGAATGCTGCTGAAGGAGTTTCTATCCTTGAAAGATAAAACACTAAACTGGTAGATAAAAGAAAATGCTAAAATGTTAACACTTTCAATAAATGAACAATAAAAACGACATCCAATTTCCTTACTAACATTAAAAGAGTCTCTTTTGACGCTGCCTACATATCCTCCTCTAGAATTACCTGAATGTCCTCCAGCAGTTCTTGTTTACGCCGGCGGATATTCTCCAGCTCCTGCTGCTCCTCTGGAGTGAGGTCGTCCGGCACTAGAGACACATGAGAAAGAAGATGAAGGTTTAGAATAACTTAGAATAACCAGTGAAATACTGTCCCAATGTGTGAGGGCTGGTAATGGTCCACTAGGGTTAACGTAACAGAAAAGTCATGATCCAAGGGTGTACATAAGGCTGTACGCAGACAGAGGTATATCGTGCAGACGTGCCTGCACAGACACAATACAAGTGCCATGAATGTGCATCAGTCCTCCACAAGGAAAAGAAACAATACAATAATGGCAAGTTGTCAGCATGCATAGATGACCATGTGCACGTCCACTATGTAGCACAATCCCTGCCATTTTCTATAAATAAATGTCCCTGAAGCATTTCTTCAACATTCCAAAAAGTGATTACACACATAGCAAGGAATGTGGAAGATGATATGAGGAACAATGAAAACCAGTGGTGATTTATGAGGAGACATTTTCAACTGCAGGGGCTACCGTAAGTCGTAAGACAATACAGTAAAAGTCCTTCTTTGTTAAAGTGTTAGTGATGGCTCAAATAAGCCTTTGCATTACAAACACTAAAGAGTTTAAAACGCCTACACCAACAGAGTGACCTAATCAGCAGCGGTCACATGCGGATCAAACAGGAAATCAGCTATTGTGGAGCTACAATTTAAAAAAAAAAAAAAAAAAGTCTGGTCAGCCAATTAGCACTGAGCATCAGTGCATAAGAAGCACAAATGTGACAGGTATCAAAGAGCTGACAGTCCTCCTGTCACTCACACCTTAGTTATTATTAGCCTGTTTGATGGACAACGTGCCTGCTTGTCCACTTGAGCGAAAACTAGATGCGTGGACACCGAGCACTGTAAGCACAGCAGCACTCCAAACAGTGCGTTTCATTTCCTTTACATTTGAACTAGAAAGTTTACATTTTCTCTTTAAAAAACAGTGACAGTTTCTTAATAAAGCAATCAGGTTATTCTGTCAGCAGCCCTATTAAGACCAAGCATAACCTTACAAATATGCTAATAATGACTTAGCTGCATCTTGTGTGTTTGTGTAATTTATATATTTAACATAGTCAATTTCTAAAAACAAGTATTGATTAACCTGTTTACTTGATAAACAAAATGTATGCTATACCATGTAAAATAACAAAAACTAATGGTATGGAGCAAGGGAAGTAGTCAAAGTGTAGTAGTAGTAGTAGATGTCATTAATCTGCATTGTTCGTAAGGTGGATTCCCAGTGGGAAACAACACATAATGACATTTCAATATAAAACAAATAAGACCTTCTCTCATAATTAAAATTTTTTCCAAGAAAAAGGTGTGTGCCCAAAACTCTGCTGTAAAGTGTTGCTTGATAATCAGCTGCCTTTAAATACTTGCATAAAAAAGACAGAAGATACATTATTTGGCATGCGAGGCCATTTCTCCAGTTCTTGCAGTGGCTCAGCACAAGATCTGTTCTGTAACCTCCTCGTTTCATTTCCTCAGCAGAGTTTAAAGGTTAAAGGGGGTCAAAGGTTGGATGACTCTATGGATCTCAGTCAGTCTTCAGCAGTTAACAAAGTAACAGATATAAAGAGACAAAAGCTGAGGACAGAGGACACAACATAACTGTAGAGGTAAAATTCTTGATTCAATGAGACTGGGTAACACACAGTGTACCACATGTAAAAGTGTTAGTGGAATGATGATGGTTAAAAAAAAAAAAAGAGAAGCAAGCAATCGAAGGACACAACTGACATTCAGAAATTATCCTAAGCACGTCACTCATAAATGACGAGACACAAACATACAAATAGCAAAAAAAAAGAAGAAAAAAATCCAACTTTAAATATATAACCAGCAGAAAGAAATCTGTATAACTGAGGATGCTTATTTTAATAAGAGAAGCAAGTAAACCTAAAGACATTGGGGTAAATAACTATGGCATTTCCCAGAATTTCTGATAATATTTAACACAGGGATAATAGACAATGGAAGTTAAAAAACAGGGACTGCTTTAGAGCAGACTGAAGGAGCACCAAAACAATGCCATGCTGTCTTCCTGTTTTGCTTTCAGACAGCTGGGGGAAAATGGGAGTCCACATGAAGCTGACCTTTCACACATCAAACCTCGACACCTTAAGTAATTCTGGCATACCGGCCATATACATACAGAGCGTTCTGCTATATAAAGTCACAGTGGGGTCTGAATGAATTTTGTTTATAAGCGGGAGCTGACAGGATGATACTGAGCAAAGACACAAACCCAAATATATATGTGCATTTTTTTAAAAATCTGGTCACAATTCCTCCTTGCAGATGCACAAGAAGGCACCACCTAACACACAAACAAAGTGGTGATAGGTCTGAGAATATATGGCCCTCCTTGCATTTAATGACCTTATCTCCTGATCGCCTGGATGAGTTAGTGTCACAATGATGAAATCCAGAGCAGGGCCTTGTGTTCAACAGCCTAAAAAAATAACAACAGGGAGGATGATCTCAAAGAAGAAAATTCAATTGTCTTTCTAGAAACACGATGTCAGGTAGGGGGCCTGGCAGACCCTAAAAAAATGAACAGGACACAGCACAGGACAGCAGGTCCCAATATAAAACAGCCACATTGCTCCAGGCCTTAGAGGAGGACTGACATTACAGAAGAGCTGCATACAGGACTATAATTTCACTCCAAGGAGAAAACTGAAAAAATTAGCAAACTAATAATTTTAAGGACAGAAACTGTTTATACACTTTCCTCTTTTGAGAGCACATAAAAATAGTTTGTGCAAAATCCATATGACAGATGCACGATGGCACCCAGATCCTGCAATCAAAACGTACACTGCATCCCGACATGTCATCTGAATCCGCATGATCACGGAGCAACGTGGTTGAAACCATCAATGCCTTCCTTGCTCCACCCAAAATAACCATAACCACAGCACAGCAGGGAAAGGCCCTAAACATGCTTGCTTCAGAGGTGGGCACCAAGTGGGTGTAATTTCCCAGAAACCAGCAGATGAAGAGGGAGTTCATCAACTTAAGAAAATGCTTGGAGCACTGCTTGGCTCGCATTCAGCAAACCTCTGCACTGACACAGCCGATGAAATGTGGCTGTCATCAGCAATAGGCAGGACATTAAAAAGAGAGTCAGAGAGGGTAGAGGAAGAATGAAGGGACTATTTGTTTTTGGAACAATGAAAATAAATGGTCTTATTAAAAGATACTTTGTGATAACCACCTACTATCCATATTTTATTGTTGACATTACAATATTATAGAAAAGAGATAAATTAGGCATTTCCTTCCACGCACACCACGCCTCCTCATCTATCTTAATTCTTACTCTCTCACATGGAAAAAGGGCAGGGTCGAACCTGTGATGACCACAGACTCCACAGACTGTTTCACAAGTAAAACACATGACGCCCACATCTCACTACTTTCGGAATTGCAATGCGTGAAAAATAAGTCATTTAGGGGAATTACATGCAAACGCACATGGGGGTGTGTTTGCACATAGTGCCGTCATGCAGAGAGACCAGGGAAAAGTAACATGGAATTGCACACCCACATATTAACTAATGATCAGCACTCTTGCAACTTGCTTTTTGTTTCATTTTACAGCACTAACACCATCTGACTGTCATTTCCAGCACATTATTACGAAACTGTCACTCCCAAAGTGTGTTCACCTCTATTCAGAGGTCATTTAACCAAGTCAGTATTACAAAGTACTAAATTTATCTTATTTTAAACCAAAGATAATGCTTTCCATTTATATACCTTGCTGAAAAAGATGACAGTGTGAAGCAATTGGTTAATGGTACTGACACAAGTGCTCTTTTGCTAAATCTGGCATATTACAATCAGAGCTGTCCTGCAGTGGCCTGGCCCTCATTACTCCTGGGTGCAGTTCAACCCAAATGTATGACTTGAAACACTCAATGCACTCTGCAAGAATAATCATGGCGCTTACTCCTGAACTGGTACATCCCACTTCTTGTCAAATACATTCTGTACTTTAGGTAAAGTGCTTAAGAAGTTTTTTTTTAGTTTCCCCAAAGCTTCATTTGAGCCCTAAATCAGGTATAAGAATAATACCTTGTCTCGGTGCACCCTTACTTTTTTAATCTAAGACTTCCTAGATGGGTGAAGCATTTTTTTTAGTGAAGGCTGGGTCAGCAGAGCGCACCAGGGAGGTGGCATCAAGAGAGATACCAATTATAGATCACTCTCCCAGAGCGGCAGAAGCCACTAATACTCATCCTGATTGCCATCCTGGCAAAAGAAGCAGACGTCTCATTTCCACCCAGATCACTGAAGAACTCTCCTTGGAAAATACGGAAATTAGAATTCCGAGTGCTCATAAGATCTTTTAGCTCCCCCTCCCTGCTGATGTGACCCAATTTAGGGAGCTCCTCCAAGCACACAAGGACCAAGAGAAAAAATATTAACTAGGTAATTTCCTTACTCAGGCTGCTCCAGCAACACAGATACTAGACATGCGTACGTATTGCATGTAAGGAAGAAAATAATGCTGAGTGATCTTTATAGTAAAATGACAGTTTAGTAGACAGATGTGTATAAGGTCTTGGTGTTTTACAGCAGCAGATGAAGACATCAGGAATATATTTACACCTACAATTTGCTGAGTGAGGGAATATGCAAAGACACACACAGATCACTGTTTTTATTTTGATGAAGTGCACACAGTGATGGAGGTAAACAAATGACACTGTCAGCAGCAATCATTCTTTGCACAAGGTTTTGTTGTTGTTTGTGTCTGCAGGTTTTCTCCTTCATGCACCATCCTTCTGGTCTGACCAACTCCTATCTATGCTTTGCACTCCCTTCTTATTCCAGCCGATCTCATTTGAACTGAGAACATCAGTTTTCTCGAGTCAACATCTACCTGCTCCTCTCCCCCCATTCCATCAGGTTTCTGTTGCTGCTGTTCAACATTTGACCTTATATTTACACTGACAATCCTCCCTTTAAAACCTGGCCACTGGCCTCAAGAGCCACGTAGGTTCCAATCAAT